CTGCTCACAGACTCTACTCCAGGGAGGGACTTCTGTTTTACCTCTAATCAGCATGCTTTAAAGCCAAACTCTTCTCCCTAAACCACCGGTAGCAGTTTTCTGCAGGCAAAAGCCCCCTGTTTCTTCTTCGTGGCTCTGTCTTTCCAGTCCCTCTACTGAGCAACTGTGACTAATACAAGGTCTATAATACGGCAGCCATTCACTGATAAGAGAACAATGGACTTAATATTTAATGTTAATCCACTGTACAAAGAATATCGCACTGAACCTAGTACATCTCTGTGCCAATCCCATCCACATCTAGACTTCCCATCTCAGAGTCCCTGTGTTTAGGGCAGAAAGGATCATTTTGGGGAAGGAGAAAAGAAGAGATAATTCTTCTAGTTAAGAAAAGATGATCATTTGACTCAGCAACTTCACACCTAGATACACGCATATAAGAAATGAAAACATATGCTCATGCAAAAACCCTAGACAAATGTCATAACCGCATTATTCACAATAACTAAAAGGTGGAAACAAACTCAGATGCCCACCAACTGATAAATGAATAAATGAAATGTGACACACCCATACAATGGAATATTGTTTGGCAATAAAAAGGAATGACGTACTGATGCATGCTAGAGCATGGATGAATACTGAAAACATTATGTAGGTGAAAGTAGCCAGTCACACTAGACCCGTGGTCAGCAAACTGCAGCTCTCGAGTCACATGCGGCTCTTTGGCCCCTTGAATGTGGCTCTTCAACAAAATACCACGTGCGGGCGCGTGTATAGTGCGATTGAAACTTCGTGGCCCATGCGGAGAAGTGGGTTTTCGGCCTGGGCGAGTCTATTTTGAAGAAGTACTGTTGATATGTGGCTCTGTTGACTAATGAGTTTGCCGACCACTGCAGACCACCTACTGTTTGATTCCATTTATATGGACTATCCAGGACTAGACGATCTGTGGAAACAGTGGAATAGTGGTTGCCTAGGGCTAAGAGGATGGAGAAATGGGGAGTAACTGCTAATTTAGAATATGATATTTCACTGGGTGGAGGGGTGGGTAATAAAAATGTCCTTAAATTGATGATAGTAATGGTTGCATAACCCTGTGAATATAAAAAAAACCTGAATTGTGTACTTTGAATGAGTGAATTATATCTCAAGCTGTGTTTATTTTTTTTTAAAAAGATCAATGTGTGAATAAATTAAATTCACATATTACTTGTCTTTAAGGCATAATCAAAGAGCACCAGCTTAAATAAGGCAAGATATGCAAAATATGCCAAAACTGGATCAAAACGTGCATTTGTGATCAGAAAACACCAAGTTAAAGAAAAGTCATGTTTGTTGATATTTATTTGCCCCAAAACTAATATAGAATCTGTTCACTGTAAAGTTTACTAGTTTAAGAGGAGACATAACAAAGTGCAGTGAAAAGTACTGGGTTTTGCTGAACCGGTTTGGCTCAGTGGATAGAGCGTCGGCCTGTGGACTCAGGGGTCCAGGTTCGAGGGCATGTACCTTGGTTGCGGGCACATCCCCAGTGGGGGGCGTGCAGGAGGCAGCTGATCTATCCCTCTCATCGATGTTTCTAACTCTCTATCCCTCTCCCTTCTTCTCTGTAAAAAATCAATAAAATATATTTAAAAAAAAAAGTACTGGGTTTTACTGGAAGCACAGAGAGTCTGGTTATATAAACTTTTGTAGGTCACTTAATTCCAGAAGGCAGTGTCTCTAGTTTCACTACTTGCTAATCACCTTATTTCACAGGCGTATTCTTAAGGCAATTAATGGGTAATGTAGTTCACATTTATAGTGGGGCAGGATCTGCAAGTGCCGCTGAGGTTTATTCCAGGCATTTACACAGACCTATTGAGCATGATCTGCAGGGTGAATTAAAGCACCCACTTACAAAATCTTCCTGTTGGAGAGATGCTATGATTACAAAATAAATCCATAAAACTTTTGATTCTTTCACAACGGATGTGCAGTGTTTTAAACTATCTAAAATTAAATGATGAATTCATATGTTTTTCAACTTTAAAGCTGCCTTTTGAAATAGGTCTCAAAAAAGGTATAATGATATAAAGGCACAGTGGAGGGGAACAGATAAAAACAATCTAATGGATGAGCCATCTACAATCCCTCTTTGCATTTAATCTTCAAGGATACTGTAACTAATAAATCAGATTTACCAAACCATGATTTTAACATAAAGTAAAATCCTAGTCCTATCTTCTTTCAGATATTAAAATTCACACTTACCCAGTTGAGTACATCAAAGTTTTAAGATATTGACCTAATTTTTTAAATACATTTTATTGATTTTTTTTACAGAGAGGAAGGGAGTGGGATAGAGAGTTAGAAACATCGATCAGCTGCCTCCTGCACACCTCCTACTGGGGATGTGCCTGCAACCAACGTACATGCCCTTGACCAGAACCTAACCCGGGACCCCTCAGTGCACAGTTCGACACTCTATCCACTGAGCCAAACCGATTAGGCTGACCTAATTTTAAGAAAGGAAAATAGATGCAAATAAACTATGTTCACGAAACATACTAAGTAGCCCTTCAATTATTTTTGCTTTTGTTTTAAATTCTCTTTATTTTCTCCCATATTCTACATTATTTGTAACTATTAATTTTTTTGTCTTTATGATGAGCAACATGAACCTGGTTTGATTTAGGACCAATATTTTGATCCACGCTGGTTTGAAAGATACTTAAAAATTCTATGAAGCTGTGCCACTTAACTTAGGACTTGTAGCAGTCATGGACAAAACTGTGCCAATCACATAACTGAAGACTTTGAAAACAAAACCTCTAAGACCTTGGATTGTATGATGATGTGGTATAAACTGGAGAAACTTTAATTGTAGTACGTGAAAATCACATGAATAAATTAGTGCAAATAAAACACTCTTTGTTTCTGAAATAGAAACTTATTTCTTTTCTTGGTTTTTCTCTTTGCACTTCTGTACAAAATGTAGAATGTAGACTTCAGCTTCTAAATTGCAACATTTACTAGCCACACTGCAAACCTGTGGCAATTAGCTTCACTGGAGTACATTCATTATTTAATTTTCTTCAGTGTTTAATTTCACCTACATAATTTTTATTCTAATAAAATTTAACAAGAGATCTACTCTTTTAACAAATGTTTAAGTGCACAGTACAGTACTGCTAACTAACTATAGGCACAGTGTGGTACAGCAGTTCTCTATAACTTATTCATCATGCCTAACTTTATGTATATTGAATAGCATCTCACCATTTCTTCCTCCTCCAGGCCCTGGCAACTCTACTCTCTGCTATGAGTTTGACTACTTTAGATACCTCAGATGAGTGAAATCACACTGTGTTTGTCCTGTGACTGGCTTATTTCACTGAGCATAAATGTCCTCCAGCTTCATCCATGTTGTCACATCATAATGTTTTAAATCAGTGGTTCTCAACCTG